TTTATGTTTTTACCTACGTGACTTTACCGAAAAAACCTAAGAATATGAATCATTGCAGTCACGAAAGCTTCAAATCTAGAATGAAAGCGGTTTACGGGGTAGGTGGTGGTGGTGGTGGAGGCGAAGGCCGAGAGGTGACGGATAAGGAGAACGGACGCACGACGAAGATGCAGTCAGCGACGTGAGTGTGTGTGTGTTGAGGCGACGTGAGTGTGTGTGGGGTTGAGACGACCAAATCGGGTATCGGTGTTCATAATAAAGTGACGACGCATTGGCGACACGACGTAAAATGGTTGAGACGCAAACAGGGTTATTACCGTAACAGAAACAAATCGAAAGGGGCTGACGTTTCAGACAATGGTCCTACATCAGAGCACACAGGGGGGGTGGGGTAGAGAAATTGACCGACTTGAAGCTGTAGCTTGCGCTGTGCGGCTGCCGTGAGGAAATCAGAATACATTTGAGGAAGTGGACAAATTAGCTTTGACACGACATCGTTATTTTCAGTGAGTAAGCATCAACTCTCAAACGAACCCTGAGAAAGTCAAAACAACGTTAGCATCTTTTTTTCACACAGTTGCTGCGCTCAGGCACAAAAGGACCCACAACGGAAAAGCGACCAGCAACACACTGCATGCCAACATTGTCAATAGATACGAGTGCGACGCTGTGTCTTGACATTAGCGAGGTTATCGCGAGAGTTCGGGAATGAAGAGGCGATGGGAGGCAATTCCGGTGTGGAGCAGCGAGAGGGACGAAGCAGAGGCCCATGTTCTCGTGGACCTGAAATTGTAGGGGCAAGCTGATACACACCGGGGGGGAAACCGGGACATTAAAATCACCCGGAGCGAACGCAGAGACAGTGCACAGTCCCTATAGCAACAACCTCTTCTTTTGCTACCCATCACGTGGCAGCCGTCGACGCAACAAACATAAACAATATCTAGTAGGCGGACGTTTTGGGCGATGGCCCTTCTTCAGGGCAGAAAGAGAGGGCAGAGAGACTGACCCCTGGCTGGAGGGAGGTCACTCTCTGCGGACCCTGAACATTTTATAGAAGTGTGTGACAAATGAACCAGCTTTGAGCTTGACATGGGAGCTGGGGTTTTTTTTTTTATCCCATTTAGCGGGCAGCAACTCTCATCAAGCAAACGCTCTGAGAGTTCAAACAAAGCAGGCACAACACAAGCTTTAACATCGCAATCACCCGACGGGAATTTCAAACATTTAGCATTCGATAGCCGAGGCCAATCCTCAGGTGCTGCCGCCGCGGCCACCGCCTCCTCCTCCTCCTCTCGCCAATCGCCACGGCAACGGTAGCCGTGGGGACAACGCGGGGATGGGGCACTCCACGCAGAGACTTTTATCTCAGATTGGATGGGCCGCCGGCGCCGAACGCGACGACCCTCCTGTTACACATGAAAGGGGCGCCACGAGTGCTCGGGGTGGGGCGGGATGACGCCCCCGGCCGCTGGCACGGAACGGCGCATTGCAGAAAAACGACACCGCCGCCACCACCGCCACCGCCGCCACCACCGCCGCCGCCACCACCACTACCGCCACCGCCGCCACCGCCGCCACCACCACCACCGCCACCATCACCGCCACCGCCGCCACCGCCACCATCACCGCCGCCACCGCCACCACCGCCACCACCATCACCGCCGCCACCACCACCACCCCCCTACCGCCCTCCTGGCCGAAGTGATGATTTTGGGTTTTTATCTTCTTCTGTTCGCGACGCTTCGGCGACGCGCGCGCAACTGCGCCACGTGTTGCGCCGCATGGGGCACACAAACACACACAAACACACACACACAAACACACACAAACACATACAAACACACACACAACACACACACAAACACATACAAACACACACACATACAAACACACACACAAACACATACAAACACACACACACAAACACTCACACAAACACATACAAACACACACAAACACACACAAACACACACACAAACACATACAAACACACACACAAACACATACAAACACACACACAAACACATACAAACACACACAAACACACACAAACACACACAAACACACACACACATTACACACACACATCACACACACAAGCACACACACACACACAAACACACACACACAAACACACACACTTACAAACACACACACACAAACACACACACAAACACACACAAACACACACACAAACACACACAAACACACACACAAACACACGAACACACACAAACAAACACACTAACACACAAACACACACACAAACACACACACACAAACACACGAACACACACAAACAAACACACTAACACACAAACACACACACAAACACACACACACAAACACACACACAAACACACGAACACACACAAACAAACACACTAACACACAAACACACACACACAAACACACACACAAACACAGGAACACACACAAACACACAAACAAACACACTAACACACAAACACGCCGGCGGCGGCTTGGCCTGTCGATACGTTATACACGCACGCACGCGTGTGTGTGTGTATAACGTATGTATGCTGGACTTCTTTCGCGCCGTACGTCGTCTCGCGTTCTTGTCGGAGGGTTAGGGTGGCTTAGGGTGGCCCCAGGGGAGGTTGCTGGGGTTGGTGTGGCTCGTGGGAGTACGTCACGAATCACCCCCCCGTGAATGTTCTATTGCTTTGTTCCGTTGTTGTTGTTTTCCCGTCTTTTACCGCCTCGTCCGCCACCGCTGTTGTTTCGTGAGCATTCCTCCTCCCTCGTCGAGAAAAGCGAACAAAACCAACTCCGTCTGAGTCGCAAGTTCCAACCGGTTGACTTACACCGCCAAACTAAAAAGCGGCCAACTTCGTGAATTTACGACCACAATGATGTTCACCCCCCCCCCCGCCCCACATCTTTAACTTTGTCCTGAACGCGTGTGGACCAGCTGTCGTGCAGTTGGGCCACACGCGTGAGACAGTGCAGTGCGCGTCAGGCAGGTCAACACGCCGAGTGCGCATTACAAGCGCCGCGCACGCGTGGAGATGCAATGGGATTCACACGACCGATGGAAACTGACTCATAGGGAAGACAAGCTAGCCCCCCCCTACCCACCCCCCACCCACCCACCACCACCCAACCAGCCACCACCACCCACCCACCACCACGCACCACCACCACCACTACCCACCACCACCCAGCCACCACCACCACCACCCACTACCACCACCATCCACCACCATCATCCACTCACCACCATCCACCCAGGCACCACCCAGCCACCACCACCACCCACCACCACCACCACCACCCACCCAGCCACCACCACCACCCACCCAGCCACCACCACCACCCACACCACGCACCACCACCACCACCCAGCCACCACCACCACCCACTACCACCACCATCCACCACCATCATCCACTCACCACCATCTACCCAGGCACCACCCACCCACCACCACCACCCACCACCACCACCCACCCAGCCACCGCTGTTCCCGCGAGACAGGACGGAGAGCGGAAATTGCAGCAACCCCCTGTCGCAACATCCCCATGTTGTGACATCCGAGTCCACAGGAACTTGCGCACAGGCGGTCTGACGGATGGCTAAGTCTCAAAGTGGACACCTCGCCCCTCCAAAATCAGAATCTTAATATTTTTTTCCTGGAGAAATCCGATGACCTATGAAGATTTTTTGTTCTTACAGATGTCCATTAGAGACGCATTGGACTTCATCAGCGGTCTCGCTGAATGCACGTGTTTCTTCACTGAACTGTTAATAAATGCGTCTGCTGGTCTTCTGATGTTTTTTTATGACTTTGGGTGAGAAAAGTTTCCAACCGAAACACTATAAAGGCACACTTTATATTTTTTTAAGTACTGGAATAAAATTCTAGATTTGAAGCTTTCGTGACTGCAAGGATTCATACTCTTTAGTTTTTTCGGTAAAGTCACGTTGGTAAAAAATGAAATAAAAATTAATAAAAATAAACAATAAAATCATCAGGCGGAGGCTTGTGTTGCCTCCGAAACGTCGTGATTTTATTGTTTTATTTTTATTAATTTTAATTTCATTTTTTACCTACGTGACTTTACCGAAAGAACTAAGAGTATGAATCCTTGCAGTCACGAAAGCTTCAAATCTAGAAATACTCTAAAAGTGCTGTAAAATGTTGATTCAAGGGCCAAAATACAAAATGATGAACTCGCTGTGTGTATCGACTCTCGCTCGTGAGACGGCTGCCGCTGCATCTGGTGTTTCTGCGAGACAAACTGCAGTGGTTGCTGTTCTGTGTCTGCAATGCAACAAAGTCCTGCGGACCATGCCAGCGGCCAAGCCACGTGTCGTCCATGGGCCACGTGGTTAGGACTCGTGAATGTTTCAACAAAATAAAACTTTTTTTCTCATTGGTGGTCACCTGTCAATGATTTTCAAACTTACAAAATATATGCTGGGTACATGGATCGTGTATTATATTATAAGTCTTGAATTTCGAACGTTAATCTCTGTGTTATCTCTCTCTGCTTATGTGTCTGTCTATGTGTCTCCGTGTCTGTGTTTTGTCTCTCTCTCTCAAATTTAGCAATCTTTGGAAGAACGTAATCAACCAGGTAGGGTGTTGACTGTTATGTTAGCCGACTCTCTGTGTTGTACTGCATTATATACCCAAGTTTACTAGGTTAGTTTTTTCTTTCATTTGTACCTGATGATGATTGCTCGTGTTGCAATCGAAACGTCGTATGCTATTATAAAATGTATTTTCTTTCGACGTGACTTTACCGAAAGAACCAAAGAGTGAACTAATTTTGGTATCGTATTTTTTTTGTCATCACAAATATGGTGTTCTATGGAACGATGTTACATCACTTAAACATAACAAGGCGCTTGCAATACTTCCACCTGAAAAAAACAGAAGTCTCCCCCCCCCCCCCATCTCTTATCGTCATAAAACCATTTTCCTTCCCTTCAACAAAACGGGCCCCACACTCCCCAGCACCATAAAGCCGAGCCTGCGGTTCCGAGGGCACTACCACCACCACCATGGAATCTACACGCCGCCGATGAAGCGACCGTCGTTATTATCTCACGTGCCGATAACAAAGAAACAGAAAATCGAATCTCCGCCGCTCACGGAAATCTCAGTACCCACGACACACGGATGACGGATCGTACGACAGCCTCCATCGTACGAAGAAACACCCAGAGTCTGCAGCGGACACTGCCCCACGAACGCAGAGGTAACTCGCGCGTCACAGCCGCGCATTTGCAAGAGATGCTGTGGTCTCGTACGTTTGATGGACCACGCCAAATGTTTATACCCCCCCCCCTTTAAATCTGCCCGGCTGGGATGCGGTCAGGAGATGGCCTCAACAACAACACGTGGGTTGACGCGTGTAGAGAGTTGTGAGTGTAGCCCCCGCGCGATGGGTTCCTCCCCCGGCATTTCTGTGGCGACGATTAACGATGAATCCGCGTGTGTGTGCGGCGTTGCACACAAGTAGACACAAGTTCATCTTAGTCCCGTGGTATTCACGCTGTGGACGTGAGTAGATGACGTGCTCACAAGGCGCTGTCGATCGTGTGCTCTCCACGGCAATCCGAGTGTGAAGGATGCGTTTAACCATCTTTATTAGTGCTGTGACTACGACGACTATCATTGCGCATTCTGCTACGAGCTCGGTGACCTAGGTTAGATTCTCGCCCGCGGCGAACATCTTTGGCGATGCAATGAGAGAATCGTGAAGATGTAAATCCTAATCAGGCCCCGTTGTGCAAAGTGCAGTCTCCAACTCGTATCCACGATCTCTCTCTCTCTCTGCCATCTCGATGTTTACGGGCCATGCAGAAGGACCATTGCCTGAAACGTTACCCATTACGTAGTTTCTTTCCTTTTAAGGCAACAGTGTTATTAAAATATGTTAGGTTTTTGCTTTTATCAGTGGCGCGTGATATCTAATATATATGCAATCCCGCCATTATCTCTTCAAACTTAGCCTAATATTCGTATTATTTTTAAAAGAGATGTGGACTGAGCCAGTTTATGTTGCGAGACATTGTATCCAATGTTTTCTATTTTCGCTGAGACGCGGTTGCTCTGCTCTGACTTTGTTTAACCTTGTTCGCCGCATTTAGTTTTTATCATTTTTGAAGTCCCTCTGTTTCAAGTTCGCTGACCCGGGTCTCTCTCACGAATGAGACAATCCTGATCTCTTTGCTTCTCACCCGGGTTAAACAAAATAAAGGAACTCGGACCGGTCTTGGGCTCCATCGTGACCAACCAGCATTGATCAGCGAACATTGTCAAACAATTGCCGTAGATTGACAAAGGGCTGTAAAATATCGTTTGTTGTGATTTAAAGCTTTCGTGACTGCAGGGATTCATATTCTTGGTTCTTTCGGTAAAGTCACGTAGAAGGGAAATAATAAAATCATACAAATATAAAACAATAAAAAAAATATTGCTGTGGATTTCACACCTGATGATGATTGCTTGTGTTGCAGTCGAAACGTCGTGAGAATTTATATTGTTTTATATTTTTATTATTTTATTATTTCCCTTCTACGCGACTTTACCGAAAGAACCTAGAATATCGTTCACTGTGTTGTTATTCTAGGACGAGCGCACGCGCGCGCCGTCCACCGCACGCTGCTGAAGCGACGCGATGGAGGATCCGAGCGAGATCAAGAGGGTGAGTGGCGGGGATTGCGATCGCATCTGCCACCACACCTCCACGCACGCCACCACGACCCCCCCCCCCCCCCCCCCCCACTGTTCAAAGCCTCCACGGGACGAGACGAGGCGGCGTCAGGAGAGACGGCGTCTCGCCCGGGACTGGACCGTGCTCTCGTGGCGAGCGAGTCGGTGGTGTCGGCGCAGTCGCCAACGCCAACAACCGCCACTCGCCGCTATGTGGCGGTGATGTCACCACGACGCTTGTGTCAGGCTAGGTGCACTTTAAGGCCACGTGAAGTGTCCCGAATTGTGGGCACATTTACAACTTCCCCGGATGAGCCGTTGCCCAACTTCGGTGTCCCAACGCCCTTCTCGCACACGGAGCGATGCGCCGTCCTAGCGCCCGAATTCAGGACGTTCATGATGTGAACTCCCCTCCCCTTCTGTGCCTGCTGTGAATTTGGAGTTTGCGAACGGCTCGCTCTCTCTCCCTCGTAGTCGCGTGCATTTTTCTCCGGGTCCACCGGTTCTTTCCCCTCCACGTTCAGAAACAACATCACGCGTTTAATAGTATTTGGCTGCTGTCATTTTTCACTTCAGGTCACTTCTGAAACAGAAGCAATATAGCTCAAGTTGGCCTTACCTGATGACATAAAAAACATATTTTTATTTCAAATACTCTTTGGTTCTTTCGGTAAAGTCACGTAGGTAGAAAATGATATATTAATAATTTTCTACCTACGTGACTTTACCGAAAGAACCAAACGAAGTATAGATCCCTGCAGTCACGAAAGCTTCAAATCAATATTAAACAGTTTATAGATGTTGATGGACGGCGGGTTAAAGCCCTCTCACACGTGTACCTCCCTATCGCGTGTCCACGCACCCCCAACAGCGGATCGTGCGAGCGCTGTGCCGCTCGGCGCGGGCGCTGCGCGAGGAGCAAGCGGCCTGGGCGGAGGGTCCCGTCGACGGCGAGGACGAGCGCGGCCTGGCGCTCTGCTCGGCCATCGAGGCCGCCTTGGTACACGGCCTGCGGCCCCACCTGCTACGCGCCGAGCAGGCCTGGCTCCCACTGTGGAGGTGGTGGGCCCCGGGGCTCCCAGCCGCGCCGTTGCCCAACCCTCACTTCTGGCCGGTGTTGGGCGCTCTCACGCACAGGTAGGTACACGTGCACGCGCGCGTGCTTGTGTGTGTGTGTGTGTGCGCGTAAAGCAGGCGTGGTTGTTGATCGCTCATCCAAGCACCATCCAGGCTCGCGCCTGCTTAGCTTCTGAAAGAAGATGACATTGGAATGCACATTCCGGGTGATTTTAGTCACAGGCCCTATACAATATTACACGCGTACATGCGTACACGTCAGTGCCGGATTATCCTCGTAGCAAAAGTAGCTACAGATGTAGTAGCTACGGGCCCCGCACTTTGAAGCTATCAATTCCGGTTCAGTGATTCTGCACTTGCTCTATCACTATAGTACTATACTGCCTTCAACTTTTATGAACGACTGCGTTTTAAGGTTAGCGATTTCTCGTATTATCTGGCTGTATAGCAAATAAAGTTACTTTACGGCACAAGTTAAAATTTATTTTTAATATTTACGTTTTTTTTTTTTATAGAACCCCTTTATAACATCTACTACAGGCCCCGCACTAGCTTCATCCGGCACTGGTACACGTACAGTTCTGTTTGTCAATCCACTGCTGGCTGAGAATCTTCCTACAACGTGCGGTTTGTGGGCATGTTTGGCCATACTTCACCACGCTGGTCAGTGCGGGTTGGCAAGAGAGGATCGGGGTGGGGTGCAGAACAGGTCCAGACATCACTCACCACTGATGATATCCGCGGCGTGAAATCAAACTCAGGTTCAACGGGCTCATAGCACGGAGCGCTGCTAACCACTGCACCACCGCGGCACTCACAGGACAACGCACATCATGGGCTGTGTGATGATCGACAAGCCACCCTCGCCCAACGATCGAATTCAATAGTTCAGTCAGGAATCAATTAGATTCACGTGTAGCTGCAGAGAACACGAGGAGGGGGGGAGGGGGGGAAGATATCATTTGGGGGAAAAGTAGAGGAGGATTCCGTGCCTCTCCGGCAAAACGGATCAATCATCGTTAAAACACCCGGGGCTTTAGCGCAGTGCTGGCGGAGTGTTAACGATACATCCTGCTTTAATTCACCCCCCTCCCCCGCCGCCCAAGACGCTTGAACGTGGGAGTTATTCCTCTCAATTTTCGCCAGTGAGGCATCGCCCCGGCGCCGGCAGCAGCAGCAGCAGTAAAAGACGGCCGGCTCGAGAGAGAGAGAGCGCGAGGTCCCACGGGGGGATAAAGTAACTATTGTAATTACGGAATTTGCTGCAGTGGTTCCTTTCACCGGGACGCTCCGTTGCCTTTTTTTTAAATCTCCCAACGGCGCTCGAATATTCGTTATCCGGCGGGTGGCTCCACGTGGGGTGGGGAGGTTTAATTTGGGGTGGGGGGGGTAGATGGGGGGGTGGGGGTAGATGGGGGGTAGATGGGGTGGTGGTGGGCGATAGCTGGGAGGGGGGGTGGGGGGGTAGATGGGGGGGGTGGGGGGTAGATGGGTGGGGGGGTAGATGGGGGGGGGGGGTGGGGGTAGATGGGGGTAGATGGGGGGTGGGGGGTAGATGGGTGGGGGGTAGATGGGGTGGTGGTGTCAAATGATGGGGTGGTGGTGGTGGGCGATAGATGGGAGGGGGGGTGGGAGAGTAGATGGGTGGGCGATGGTGGGGGGGGAGTGAAAAATTAGCGTCGGTGTGGCGGTATTCAAATTCGGCGCGAGGCCATCGCCTAAATCGCGATGAATAATTCAGCGGGGACTGAGTTACAGTTTGGCATTCGCGCCGTTCGGTCTATTAGCGACGGGCAAAAACATTTGTTCATTAAACGGAGCGTGCCCTTCGTTTTAATGTGTGACCCACACTTTTGCGTATTATTCTAAATAAGGGAATATGCCGCTGTACCGCGGGGCCGCGTTGGTAACTTTGTAAGTTATAACCGAACTCCGCTTGGCTGTGCCATGCTCTGAATTATGCAGAACTCTCGAAGCAGTAAAAATAGTGGAATTAACACAAGTTCGGGAGTATGATTTAAGCCCAGGCCGGATATTTTTTTTTGTGACACAGAAGCAAATTCGAGCCGAAAGTGTTGCCCAGTCAGACCAGCGATTCACCCTGTACCCCGAAGCATCTTGGCGAACTCAGAGCAGAACTGGACGACGTCACGTCACTTCCTCGACACGACCTTCCGTGACATCCCAACAACATGGGCCAGGCCATTGAAGAGAACTTATCATCTTGGTTCTTTCGGTAAAGTCACGTAGAATGGAATAAAATAATAAAAATAAAACATCATAAAATAATTGTCACAGGTAAAGAACAGGTCTGTCTGAAATTTCAGACGCTGTCTTCTCGACAGACCTGTTCTTCACCTGAGGACGGCTGCTTGCGCTGTGACCGAAACGTCGTGAGAATTATTTTATTATGTTTTATTTTTATTATTTTATTATTTCCATCCTACGTGACTTTACTGAAAGAACCAAGAAGATGAATCCCTGCAGTCACGAAAGCTTTAAATCGAAAGAGAACTTATCATTCTCATCTCCGGTGCAGTGGCACAGCGATTGGGTGTGCAGGCGGTGCAGCTGCACCGAGGCCCATGGATCGGAGGGGCCCAGGCGGAGGGCTATGAAGCCGGGGGGAGGGGGAGGGGGAAATTGGACCGGGGTGCCCCATTTCATCCTTGCACCACCAGGACCCATCCCAACCACGCTAGCCGGAGCTGCGATCGGCCCGTCGGCAAACGCAACTCCATTACCACGGCGCTGTTGTCCAAAACCGGCGGCACAAGACGACGATGCAGAGAGATCAACGACAGTAGGGACAGTTTTTTTTTGCCGACAGCTGAGCTATTCATCTTCTTGGTTCTTTCGATAAAGTGACGTAGAATGGAAATAATAAAATAAAAAATATAAAACATAATAAAATAATTCTCACGACGTTTCGGCCACAACGCAAGCAGCCGTCCTCAGGTGGAGAACTGGTCTCTGTCGAGAAGACAGAGTCTGGCCGAAACGTCGTGAGAATTATTTTATTATGTTTTATTTATATTATTTTATTATTTTTATTATTGTATTATTTCCATTCTACGTGACTTTACCGAAAAAACCAAGAAGATAAATCCCTGCAGTCACGAAAGCTGAGCTATTGTCACTTCGCAAAGTAAATCTCTCTGCGTGGCAGGGCCCCAGCCACTGTGGGTGTCGTGGGTGTCCGGACGCGTTTAGATTTGGTAAAAGACACTCACAACAGGTTGCGCCCCTGGTCAAAAGTATTCGTATGCGAGGTCGGGTTTTTGCCAGCACGATATATACTCATAATCAACGTTTTTGGGTTAGATCGCGTTATTTATAAATATGTCGTAACCCTCCACCACCCGACACGGCCAATCAGTAAAAAAGTGTCACGTTGACAAAAGACAAATAGTTCACTGCTTTAGCCCACCGGTGTGTTGAAGCGTTAAACCACAACATTTACAATTTTTAAGTACAACGTTTCGCTGGTAATTACATCCAGCATTATCGGGCAATTCGCCAGAATGCGCGATCTAAACCCAAAAACGTTGATTATGAATAATATTGGTCGCGAAAGCCTACGTGTTAAACTGACGATATATACTGTAGTATGGCAACATGCATTAGAAATTGCCGGGTTCCTGTGCATCTGTAATGTCACCAACAAGCACCAGGAACTGTCCACTAGTAGGACAGCTGTGCAAAAGAGCTTCATAGCTCATCGGATTTCCTCCAAGATAAATAAAAAAAATTCTGATTCTGGACTTCTTTTTCACGTCGCGATTCCGCCTCTCTCGTTCTGTCCCAGCAACGTGATGGAGCAGCTGACCTCGCTCAAGTTCGTGCGCACCGACGTGGGCCGCTGCCGCGCATGGCTGCGCGTGGCGCTCAACGACGGGCTGCTCGCGTGCTACCTCGACTCGCTGCTGTGTGACGCCGCCGCCCTCGCCGAGTGGTACGAGCCCGGGGCCCTCCTCCTCGACGCCGAGCAATCGCCGGCGCTGCTCGCCGCGCTGCAGGCGAGTGCCGTGAGCGATGTCCTTCCCCGCGCCTCCGATTAGCGCGGTTGGCGGCTACGTGCGGTGCGAACACATTTCGATTTTAAGCTTTCGTGACTGCAGGGATTCATCTTCTTGGTTCTTTCGGTAAAGTCACGTAGAATGGAAATAATATTATTTTATTATGTTTTATTTTTATTTTTTTATTATTTCCATTCTATGTGACTTTACCGAAAGAACCAAGAAGAAGTTCAACACAGCGTACATACCTACATGCACAGTGCCATCAGCAGCACATGCACCACAATCTGGAGAGAATTTTGGGAAGGGATATATTTTTGGTTTTAAATGGTTTCAATGGTCCTCGGGACTGAATATGAGCAACCCGTTTCTGTGCGTCACGCGGCTCTGCGGTTTCTCTCCGGGCAGGGCCTCGACTCCGTCCGTTTCCAGCTCTCGTATCGCTCTGCGGCGCTCGACCAGTGGACGCCAGGCCCGCTGGCGCTGGCCGGGCTGTGCCCTGCCGAGGAGGAGTCGTGCGGAACGGCGCACGCCGAGCCGCCCGTCGCCCTCGGCGCGACGGACGGGAAAGATGGCGACGCAGGCGATCGGCGGCCTCCGGTCGGCTCGCCCGAAGCCGAGCGGCAGACGGAAAGAGATCGGGGGGCTGATTCCACGTCCGCCGCGGATGGAGTCGAGGCGGAGCGTGGGAATCGCGCGTCCCATTCGCAGATCGACTTGCCGGTCGGCGGGGGCGTCGCCTGGCCGACGGCCCGTGAGGCCGCAGAGCCGAGCGGGGTTGCGATGGTGCCGTCGGCCTGCGATTCGGACTCGGCGGGGCCCGCGGCCGCGACCGGCCGAGCGGGAAGCGGGCGCGGAGAGAGCCCCTCGGCGGAGGAGGAGGAGGCGACTTCGGTGGCACGCCAACAGGAGGCACCGCCCAAGGGAGCTGCGGAGAGCAACGGGGATTCAAACCCATTTGCGAAGATGCTCGCGTGGATCAAGGAGGTAGGGCTGGCAGGTGGTAGCGACCAAGGGAGGGAGGCTTCATCCGGAGAGCCCCCAGTCACCGCGGATGAACGAGCGGCGCCTGACGCCGCGGTGGAATTTCCAAGTTCTGCGGCACGCGAGGTTGACGGCAGGGAGCAGAAGGTGAGCGGGAAGGAAGCGAAGGCTTCCTCAAGCGGGCCTCCCGTCAGCGTCATCAACCGGGCTCTGCCGGGTGGCGATCACAACGATGGAACGTTGGATGGCGCTCATAGCGGCGCTGAGTTGGAGCTTCCTTCTCCTCCACTGATGGAGCCGCAGCAGGGGACTGCGAATCCAGAGGCCACACGCGGCTGCGGTGAGACAATCGGGCCCTCGGATGTGACGGATCATCGCGAACGTGAACCCGAATTGTCTCCCAGTGTCGAGAGAAGGGCCCATCCATCGCAGCCACTCTTTATGGAATTTTCGGATTTGAACGAAGAAATAGATGGCGGCGACATTCTGTTCTCCAGACATCTGCAGAGTCATCCCAAAAAGAAGGCTAAAAAGCCCAAGAAGACAGCTCTGGGTGTTCTATTTGAAGATCCAAAGGGTGCAAAGGAAATGCCCTGCAAATCTAAATCGGCGGCAGATGCCAATACGGTTAATGCTGGGAAGCCAGGCCATGCAAAGGCAGGGCCAAATCAATCATCGTCGGACTGCTCGAGAGAAAACAAAAATGTGAGCTTCTGCAAAGAACCGTGCCCTGACTTGAAAGGAAACTTGGGCAGTGATCGCGAAAGTCGCATTTCTTTGCCGGAAATCCAAATCTCACACATCACTCAAGGCGACTTCACAAAAAGGTCAGGTCAAGATGAAAACACCACAGCAGACCCACTGTCCCAGTCTCCAAGAGGCACCGGCGTCGTGGTGGAAGGAGACAACTCCCCGCCTCGAGCCGGAAACACAGGTGACAACGACGCGGTCGACTCGTCGCGCAGCCCGAACCTCATCTCCGCCGCCGTCAGCAACATCGCCAAGGCCTCGGGGTGCCTCCCCACCAACGACTCGAGCGATGACGATTTCTACGGCCACTACCCGGACGGCTCCAGCGAGGCGGAGCCCCTCGGCGGGCCCAGCGGCGCGAGGATCTCGCGGACGAGCGCGACGCGGAAAAGCAGGAAGGTCACGAGGAGAAGGAAGGAGCTGGGTCCGACCAAGGCGACCGCCAGGGCCGGGGAGATGGCGGTGCCGGCGGCGGTAGCGGCGCTACTCCAGGACGTCCCAAACCGGCACCAGGGCGGCCGCTCGTCGTGCTCCTCCATTGACGACGACGACATCGTGGTGGTGGCTCACAGGAAGACCCAGGGTGAGTGCAGGCTGAGGCCCGTGAAGGCTCGCGTCCGCCAGGTGGAGGAGGCTGTAAATTCCGATTTCAGGCGACGTCTGCGGCTGGATTCGTTGATGATTGGTATACAAAGGCAGCGTGTGATTGCTTGTTGTTGATGATGATAGTGGTGTTGGTGGTGTGGGGAGCGGTAGTGCAGCGGTTAACGCGCTGAGCTACGAACCTAACAACCCGAGTTCGAATCCCGCTCACGGCCAACACCATTGACGATTATCTTAACCAGTCCTGGGCCTCCCCTAGGTCGACTCGGCCTCAAAATGAGTACCTGGTGCAGTGTGTAAACATCGCCACGAGGGAGACAAAGGCGGCCGGGCGTGGTGCTGGCCACCCACCCCCCTCGCGAGCCGTGCCGGGACACGTCACGAGAAGGAAAGATGGCCGATGGTCAAAGTCGATCACGGGAGTGGCAGCCAAGGAGTGAAACGGCGTCCAAGTGGACGTCCGCTGAGGGAGATGCGGCGACGAAATCAGTTCGTGTGTGGGTGCTTGGCGGATCGTCGCATCGCAGGATCGCGAGAGCTGGTGGCGCCTTCTGGGGAAGCCTTAATCCGGCAGTGGATCGACCATGGCACGGTGATGATGACGATGATGACGATAATTTATTTAGCAAACCGCTATTTCTAAAGAAAAAAATTTCAATTTCTGACATTGAGCATTCCCAAACTAATTAGATCACATGGTAATCTGATAGAAAGGGCCGGGTTGTTCCCTTTCCCTGCTCGTAATTAAAGCACGAGGGGACACGCACTCACCAAAGGGAGCACCAGAGATGAATTTTCGCTCAGTATTTCAAATAGCTGATTCTCTGAATGGAGCGTCACTTATTATTATTATACCTGCTGGTTATTGAGAAAACACCGGGATAATGGTTTTAGAATTTTTTTTCTATGACAATCAAGAGGCCGGGCATTGTGCGCCTTTAATTATGCGTCGGGTTTCGTTTGGGCGTTAAAAAAAAAAAAACGCGTTCATAAAAGCATAAAAGGATGGCCGGTGCTTGTTGTCGTGGTGGAACGGAAGAGTGGGAATGGAGTGAAACTGCCCGGATCAGGAATAATTAAAAAATAATCATATTAATACTACGGGTGGAACGGTGGCTCAGTGGTTAACAACACTGCTCGTGCTTTAATTATTGCAGGTTTTTTTTCATTAGAAAATAGAGGTTTGCTAAATAAATCATTGCCATCGTCACCGTGCCATGGTCGATCCACTGCTGGATGAAGGCTTGCCCTAACCCACCTGAGTTCGATCATTTAATCGGCCACAGCCAACATCAGTGGCGAGCGAATATCTGAACAGCTCCTTGAGCCTCACCCGTCACCAATTTGCACATACCGGCATGGTGAGGTATGGTGAAACAACCCACACGGCTGACAGTGGCAGCAGTGTATTGCCATGGACTATACACATATGATTATGATCGTGAATTATCACCTTACCCAAGTAAGCTTCACTGAGTGTCAAGAATTCTCCTGGGAGTATCCTGTATTTGGGTGTCTGGATACTTTCGTGAATCAGCGCTGCGTGGGGGCGGAAACCGGAGTGCCCGGAGAAAACCCACACATTTGAGGAGGGTAACAATCAAAGCACTGCACATACACACAAAGAAAATCCAGTACCAGATATTCTCAGTCACTATTGGCAACACTAACCAGGCTGAACCTCTGCTTGGCTTCTGAGATGTGAAGAGATCGGGAAGATTCAGGGAAAAAAATGTGTCTTTCGATAAAACATATATATGCAACAACAAAATTGCGTGTTCGTAAAATACATTCTTTAAACGTCACAAGCAATGCTCGCCTGAAACTCAGTTCCATTCTATTCTTGCTCATGGCAATAAGTTAATGAGATGAATGCTAATGCCGAGGCCTGCCAGCCACGATGAGATGGCTGCTTCAGGAGAGAGTTCGTGTAGTTTTTGCTCTTTTTCCATCGAAGGAGCACAATTGGTACATTCGAAGGCCATGTCTGATCAGTTTCTGACCCTGAGCAGGGCCTTTGGAGACATTTGGCTCCACTGATCACATCTGGATTTGAATTAGCGACGTCCATTTCGCCCAGATGACGGTATTAGTTGTCCTGGACATCTAATGGACATCTGTGAAAAAGAGCTTTATGAGACCATCGGATTTCTCCGGTATAAGTAAATACGCTAACTCTGATTGTTGTGTTTAAGGTGACATGAAAACACACAACAGGTAGGCGACCGCGAGAAGGCTACCCCCTACCACCCTTTAAACTCAGTGGCGATTATGTGCAGGAATAACAGCCGGGTAATATTGTTCACCTACGATTAAAAAAAATCACTCGGTATGCACCCAATCTCGTCAGACCTCAGTAGGTGGTGCCTCTGCTCGTGGTAGTTACAGTCAGAACGAGCGTTATACTGGATGTGGCGTGCTGTGTACGTAAATATTTTCCGGGACGCTGAACCAGACAGACCCAGCTGAAATCCATCCCTGGCTTCAGAGATATGCAGAGGGGAGCGCAGCAAAAATCCACTGTTGTACCAAACCTCTATGCTCCCGCATCTACACTCCCCGCTTTCATCAACCCGCCCCTGACCGGCGTGGTGAATTATGGTCGGACGACCAGCAACACTAGCCACACGGCGCATAGAGAGGCCCTCATCCAGCAGTGGAGTGACGAGAAGGGGCTGTGAACTTAGAATACTTCGCAACGCGGTTTGCATCTGTCGTCCGATCGTTACCATGTGCGCCAGGCCGTAAGCAGAGCACCACGTGGCCACTCAACACGTGTCTGAGCGATCTAATGAGAGGCTCGTTAATCTGTAGGGGGGGGCGGTGGAGACAGACTCCCGTTTGTGTCACCGCTGGCTTGAAGACCTCTTCAGGGGCACGGGAACTGGGGGGAGCAATGGGACTTGCATTGTGTTGCTCTGCTTTTTCATGATCCTTTCTGCCCGTCGTGACAAAAATAAATAGGCACATCAGTGTTTTGTTAAGCCGCCTTCAAATTCATTAAAATAAAAAAAAACATAATATGAATATGATTAATGGGACATGGATCGCAGAGCCACGCTGTTTTTGCCTTCTGTTTGCTCAATTATAGCACGGTCCTACACCTAGACATTTTGTTTTGATAAGCGTCCAATAATGGCTCGAAAGGAGCAATTTGCAGGAATTGTTTTGACGGCTTTTTGAATTGTAAAACGGGCAATTGATTAAATATTTTGCTGCTAATTAAAAAGCATTGATTCATTGATTGTCATCCTTTATATAGCCAGGTGAAAACGCAGTGTCATCCATTACTGCTGTTGGAAGACAGACCGGGCTCACAGAAGCCACAGAGATGTGTCCTTTTTCAATATCAAGGTACTGGCCATTTTAAAAAATGTTCGGCTCGGGCTATAATCTGCTGTACAGAATGGCCTAATTTTGTGATAAATTATATGATAGGGCACGGTCTTTAATTTCCACTCTGCAGCTGGCACCACATTTTGGTAATTCACCATCATTGTCCTAATTCCCATAGCAACGTAGGTCACATTTCCCAAAACGTCACCTATAATATATTTGTTTCCCTCTCTGCGCCATGGCATTATTGACAAATGCGTTGCATTTCTGCCACGGGTACAAAAATAGGCAATTCGGTGAAAGGTTATTTGATTCTCCGCGTAGCTTTTCACTGAATCCATTTATCGCGCGGCGTGCGCGTCCGCCGTTGGATAGGAGGCAGGTGAGCAGCTGTTGCTCAGGAGAGCACAAAGCCACCCATCTCTTTCGGTAATCACGCTGTCATCTTGCGGTGCATTGTGGGAATGACCGAATCACGGCCGTCGCTAGGACTCCGTGATTTTGGCGACCTCCTTCCCCTGGGATTGTGGCAGCGTTGCCCAATCACAGAGGTGGGAGGAGGTCAGCGAAAAAATGGAGTGGCTGGAGTTTTACCAGGTGGCTCAGAGTTCAAAGCGCTGACCTGACATGGTATTAACCCTCTGAGCCACCCAGCCACGTCTATTGCGTCGTCTGTCTTACACAGACAACATGGGTCGTCGGAAATAGATGGTTGCGTTACATTGCCTGGGTCTGTGTTAACCCGCGGAAGGTCAAAATGTCAGATTGATAAGGGTCCTCGGTGGCTGGGTGGGTGAAAAGTCGGACAGCGGAGCCGGCATCGTTGAGAACCTGGGTCAGAATCTGGGTTTCAGCCGCCTGCCACTCAGCCAGGGTTCTCACGTGTAGCGGCCTCGTGGCGTCAGCCATAGAATTCCTGCTCAGAGAATTCAGTTAACTGGTTTGCACCCAATAATCTTAGAGGAGGGTGTGTGAAAAAGTGTGACCCTTATTGCCTTAAAAAGGCCGCTGCAATGATTTTCATGAGAAATCACGTGAGAAATGTGTTTTTTGTAGACCAATCTTTGACACATACGGTGCATTTCCCTCTGAGGTTTTCAAATGGATTCTTAATTTAATGGCAAAACGCCGCGCGCATAATTGGAATCAATTTTGTGTCTTCGGGGTTTGGGAGGGAGAACAAGAAAATTGAGGGAACAGGATGTTCTACTGATGGATCACGAGAAGGAGAGATGAGAAGAACAAGAACTGGTGTGGTGTGCGATAAGAGGGTTCCAGTTTAGTTAAAGGGAAAAGTGTTCAAGACGGTGGTGAGGCCGGTGCTGTTTTATGGGGCCGAGTGCTGGGGCACAATAAAGAGGGAAGACCAAGTGATGGCAGTGACAGAGATGAGGATGTTGCGGTGGATGTTGGGTTTTAACATGGAAGGGCAGGCTGAGAAATGAAGAAGTGGTAGAAATCGCAGACGATACGAGAGAGAATAAGGCTGCTGTGATTCGGTCATGTTGAGAGACGACAGGAAAATTATGTGGGTCAGAAGGTGCAAGTAATGCAAGTGGAAGGTAAGAGATCAAGAGGAAGGCAGAAGGAGAGGTGGGGATGGGGACGATGTAGTGCGATCAGACCGTGGTGGCCCGAGGAGCGGAAAGAGAGATGGCGCAGGACAGGGCAGCGTGGAGAAGGTTGGCAGGGGCAGGCGGACACCCCCAGGTGAGTGGGACCAACGCGTGGAAGAAGGATGTTCCGCTTCCCCTACGTAAAAAAAAAATACTCTCCAAACTTCTGCTTGAGAAACCTGGCAACGCTTTGAGCTATTATACAGAGATATTACCCATCTTGTGGCGTGATTTAAAAATATAACATACATGTAAACTGTAGAAAGTATAGAAAATTCTCTTTATTAATGGCAGGAAACGTTATTGAGTCTCAGGACTCTCTCTTAAGAGCGTCCTGCATTGGGATGTTTGGCTGATTCTATCCATGAGTGTTTGGCGTGTTGCAGTAAATCGTTGGACCTGCATTAAAGATGATAACGCTTTGAGCTCTGCACAGATCAATTCAATAATCCACGTTTCAGGAATGCCATTTCCTGTCCTCAGAGCTCACCGGGTTTGGGAGTTTCACAAATTGGCGTGGTCCACGAACCGCTTGCCACAATGGCCAGCAATAAAAAGACGCAGCCATGTGACTGACGGGTCTATCAATTAGAGCCGAGGCTTTAGTCGAGAACGTGGCTATCCACGTATAAATTCACCAGTAAAAAAACCCCGCACAGATGATGCGGGCTGATCAAACAAACGGGACAAATTCCGAGCTATTGGCTCACTGCCTCGGAGAGACGAGGCAATTCTTGGCAATGGATGCATTTTTTTTGCCGACATAAAAGATCGAGTGACACGCCAACAACAAACAACAATAACAAAACCGGGGCAGTGGGGGGAGGGGAAGGCTTCGAGAGGTGGGGGGGCGAGAGGCCCCCTTTGTGTCGCCGGGAACGGCCAGCAGCTCACAAATAGCCCCCTGGGCAACCACGGCCAATATGCCTCGCGCTGCACGCCCCGTGGGCTAATTAGGAGTCTGAGAGGCTTTAAGTGAGGCCGCAAGCTGGGCTCTGAAAGCTCATAAGAGACGGGGGCCTCACAATCCGCCTCGATTTCGAGTGCTTAATTTTCTTTCTCGTCCACGTCTACCTACCTCTCTCCCCTCTCTCTCTCTCTCCCACTCTCTCTTTCTCTAATCTAACAAATGACAAAAAAATACATTAGTTTATTTCATCAGAAGGCAAAGCAAATGGAAGTAAATTGCGCCGTCTCGGTGAAAAGGCCGCTAATCAAACTTAAAAAACAGCTCTCCTCTCCACCGCCGGAGCGCCTAAAAGGACGGGACGAGCATTCTGCCAGCGAGGCCGCTGTGGTTACCAAACACAGACGATGATAACAGCAACACAAATAATAATAATAAAAAATACGAGACAACAAAGGAGGAAAATAAATCACCTCCGTCTTCTTGGTTCTTTCGGTAAAGTCACGTAGAATGGAAATAATAAAAGAATAAAAATAAAACATAATTAAATAATTCTCACGACGTTTCGGCCACAACGCAAGCCAGCCGTCCTCAGGTGAAGAACAGGTCTGTCGGGAAGACAGAGTCTGTCTTCCCGACAGACCTGTTCTTCACCTATTATGTTTTATTTTTATTATTTTATTATTTCCATTCTACGTGACTTTACCGAAAGAACCAAGAAGATGAATCCCTACAGTCACGAAAGCTTTAAATCGAAATCACCTCCGCTTGCTAAGAGCTTCACTCTGGCCGATGACGACACTGCAACGGCACTCTTTCCCCCTTCTGTTTTGGGGCCGCAGGGCTCATGTTGGCCCAACATCTTTCAACGCATTCCCGAGAAAGGGCCATAAGCGTCAGCGAGGAGGAACCGCTACGTAGTAGAGTGGCGATGTTTGCTGCTATCTCTCTCTCTCTCTCGATCGACGCCAACTATTGTACGGCACAGACCTCAAGAATTCGATCACATTTGTAGGGCTGCTCACATCTCTTTCCTTTTGGTTTTTTGTTTGCTTAATATTTTTAAAGCTTCATTTTTATTTCGTCCCAAAACATATCGCGGTCACTCTCCGAGTGTGTGTTGTACCGCGGGTTGTTTGGCACAAAGTCCGACGTTTCGCTCCACGTTCTGGGAGCTTTTTCAGGAGCTGAGTGGAGTGAGTATTTCTTCGCGGTCGCGCTGGATGTGTTTCCGGGCAGCACCGCGTGGAGCACGCGTTGTGAAATGCTGGGTTTGCATGCTCCTGGGTTTGCATGCAGGCACAGCCACTTGTGATTTAACCGCATTCTCACTTTGGAGTGAGTTGATGATCTCGACAAAATTATCCATAAATTCACAACGCAATGTTAAACAATATCAGCTTATCTAATAGTTTCGTTTTCTCACAAATTCGGCGTTTTTTTTCCTGCTCAGAGAATTCTATATTGGGAAAATGTCAAAACTGGGTGGTTTTTAACTTTTGCCGACAAAACTGGATCCCAAATGTCAAAACTGGGTGGTCTTGGAAAACGACAGGCAAAACAGGGTGGTGCTTTTTGATATGACAAAACTGGGTGATGTTCAATGTGGACAAATGTCAAAACTGGGTGAAGAAGGTGTACGATTTAATGTATCATTTTGTACACGTTTAGGTCCTTGCGTTATTCATCCATATGTCGCCACAGATTTAGAGCGTTCCAAATGATGTTTCTCGTGGCTCATGTTCCATACCTTGCACCACAAACTTCCCGTTTGCATACTGGCACAGTGTGCCAGCTCGCTACTACAGTAACACTTACTTGCCATATGTATACTGGCACAGTGTGCCAGCTTGCAACTACAGTAACACTTTCAGCTCGCGAACATACACGTACTTGCCATTTGTATACTGGCACAGTGTGCCAGCTCGCTTACTTGCTGTTTGTATACTGGCACAGTGTGCCAGCTCGCTACTACAGTAACACTTACTTGCCATATGTATACTGGCACAGTGTGCCAGTATACAAATACCAAGTGTTTGGATGAATGGGGTGCTGGCACACTGTGCTAGTATACAATTATCAAGTGTATTTGACAAATGTCAAAACTGGGTGCACCCTGAGTGTCCAAAACTCAAGTTTTTGGCCACCCAGGGTGCACCCAGTTTTGACATTTGGGATCCAGTTTTGTCGGCAAAAGTTAAAAACCACCCAGTTTTGACATTTTCTCATTCTATATTTTGGTTGTATTAAAGGGTTGGGCCACGGTGTCGATGAAGAGGCCTGTTGATGAGATTTCAGAAGTAGTTCTGCAAAGTCACCTTGCAGCCCCGTTCAATTACACGAAGTGGTGCCATCTGCCATCTGCGAGCGTTCCGACTGGACATGTCTCCATCGCGACACCAATGGCATGATCACGCGTGGGAGAGAACGGAAACAAATGCCTAAAACGTAGGCTCTGATTCGTTTCCACGTGTTAAGGGGCGGCAGGGTGGCGAAATGTGAACTACCTCACCTGGTATGCAGGAGGTCATGGGTTCAATGCCGACCCTGACACCTGCTGTATATTTCGAGTTTGCGTGTCTCTCTCACCGTGTTCGCGTGGATTTTTCTCCGGGTCCTCCGGTTTTTCCTTCCGCATTTAGAATCAACTTGTGTTTAGATGTATTTAGCTGCTCTAAATTTCCACACGATGATAAGCCGCTTGGTTGAGCTATCATTTGTGATAGCCAGGTCGCTTATGAAAAAAACAACTAGAAAGCTCAGTAGGCCTTGTCTGGTAAAAACAAAATAAAGTTTAATTCTAATCGGTTTAGTTTACATTGCTGAGAGCAATTACTGAACAAAAATCTCACAGCCCATGGAGAGAAACGTCAGACATTGTGCCAAACAATATGATCCATAAGTTAGATTCCATACGAGTTAGATTCCAAAAATGAGATGGGGATGTCATACTTCTAGGGTTGCCACCGCCTCTGGGTTTAACCCGAGTTTGACCTGGGCAGGCCAGGAACCGTCATCTGTGTTCAGCGTGGCAGTCGTTGTTTTGTGCAGAGATCTGGTACCGATGTCGCTGTGTTGAACTTTATTCCAGTTTACTACACAGTTTTGATTGAAAGACCTTGCCGAACTGAGACAAACATCCGCGTATGGTCAACCGTGGAAAAAGGTGGCGATGACCGCAACACAACACGGCAACGAGCACAAAAACCTACGCGGCGGCGGCGGCAGTCTCGCGTTTACCTCGTTGCGTTGAGCGCCGTGTCGTCTGCGTCGCTGTCGGCAGGAGGAGCGGAGGACCCGTTCGGGGGCGTGCGCAAGATGGGCCTGCTGCTCAAGCGACGACGCATGAAGACGTGGAAGGAGTACTTCTGCGAGCTGACCGCGTCCGAGCTACGCCTCTACCTCCCGGACGGCCGAGCCGCCGACAACCCCGCGCCGCCGCCTTCGCCGGTCGACCCCGCCGCCCCCGCGGGAGAGGCGGCGCGACCTTTCGACGGCGCTCCGGGCGAGAGGTCCGGCCACGGAGCGGTGGCGGTGTCGCTGAACGACGGCTACGTCCTGCACAAGGCGTACTCGCTGCGGCTGTGCCAGAGCGTCGCCCTGCTGGGCCTGACCAAGCTGTCGGTGTACGCCGCGCCGGCCGACTGCCTCGAGCTGTGCTTCGCCGGACAAAAGCTCTTCTTCCAGGCGGGCTCCGCCGACGATGCCGAGGACTGGGTGGAGAGGCTGCGGGAGGTCCTGCACGAGATGGGGCACCGCGCCGTGGATGAGTGACGGCGGCGGCAGCTCTGGGTCTGTGCCCTGAGACGCTGCAGGCGAGCCTTTCGACGCTTCGGTCTGGCCTCATAGTGCACCTGGCCTGGCACACGCGCCATAGTGATGTCAATGCCGGTTCGTGGCAAATGGCGGTTGTTGTAGGTGGTGCTGGTGGTGATGTTGATGATGATGTTGGGTGGTGGTGTTTGTTGTTGTGATGGTGGTAATGGTGATGATGGTTGAGGTTGTGGTCATTGCGGTGGTGGTGGTGGTGGTGTTTGTGACAGTGGTACATGCAAAACAAGCAGAACCCTCTTGGGACAAAAATAGACTCAGTGACGTTTCACTGGGTGCACATGCACATGCACGGCAGCCTTCTGCCAACCCACTGCTGGACGAGGGCCTCCTCACGTCGCGGCTTGTCGAAGGCAATAAGCGTAGACTTGGCAGCACAGAAGTTCACTACTTGACAACAATGGATTTTGCTGCACGGCCCATTGCTGCCCGCAACGGGGGCTACCTGTGGGATTGTATCCAACACACAGTTGCTGTTTGCGCCGGGTGTGCTCGTGGTGGTGCTGGTGGTGGTGGTCGTGGTCGTGGTGGTCGTGGTAGCTCATGCAAGGGTCGTCACGAGCATCGGACTTTGAACATGCAAGGATAGGAGGTGGCCAGGAGATGGCAGTGGAGCAAGTATGAAGATCACCTTCTACCTGTAACATAGACAAAGATCCCCCGAGTAGCCTTAACAGACTTGTTGGGGCAAGTGTCGTTAGCACCCACGAAGGCCGGCACGGCTCGCAAGGGGGTGGGTGGACAGCACCACGCCCGGCCGCCTTTGTCTCCCTAGTGGCGATGGTTGCACAACTCACCAGGTACTCATTTGAGGCTGAATCGACCTAGAGGAGACCCAGGACCAGGTCAGATAATCGTCACTGGTGTTGGCCTTGAGCTGGAATAGAACTATGGTTGGCAGGTTTGTACCGCAGCGTGCTAACCGCTATGACTACCGCTGCCCATCTGCTATCTACGGATACGCACACAGACGTTGTTAAGAGTTATACTCAAGGTATACTGGAGGTTGGGGAAAAGGTTGTCAGACGCTACAGATTCCTCCCACTCATGAAAATATAAATCAAGGAAGTGGTCGAATTTCCCAAACGGGACACTCGTAAGAGGGCATCTTGAGACTCGGCGAAGCCTCACCTGGGTAAAGCCTCACCTGGGTAAATCAACGACTAGGGGACTCAAAGACGACGGTGATCATGATGGGGTTGGCTTCGTGGATGATCTCTTTATTTAGCATCCCACCCAGCAGTGACATCACACAGTTGTTGTGCGAGTGCCACGTCATGATACAGGCAGCTCTCCGTTGAGAACTGTCACGACTCACTCTGCACCACCCTGTGTGGATGTCCGCGAGCGATTACGTCACGCGAATGGCACACCTTTCGTACGGCCTGCACGTCAATCAAATCCACATTTTCAAACGTCAGATTTGGAATATTGCTAATTCAATAAAGAAAAGCTACATTTATATTATTGGTTCTATCGGTAACGTCACGTAGAAGGGAAACAATACAATAATACAAAATATAACAAATATTTTTTTATTACTTTTTTATTATTTTATTGTTTCCTTCTACGTGACTTTACCGAAAGAACCGAGAATATGAATCCCTGCAGTCACGAAATCTTTAAATCAAAAAGCTACATTTGTTCCAGTGTTATATTTTTTGGGGTGCAGTCATTCATTGATGGCCAAGGTGAGACCATCAACTCGAGACTCTTGAAGGCATCGGTGGCCTCGATTAAACGTGGCTGAAACCTGGATTCAAACCCAGACTCTCAGCGGTGCTGGCACAATGTTATCCCCGTGCGCCACCTTGCCACCTTAAATGGATGACCAATCTCACACATACACGCACAATCTTAGACACACACGTGCACGCATAGGGCACGTGTGTATGTAGATGTCCTTGTTCAAAGATGGGGTTTGTGCAAAAGCTTAGAAGAGTTAGAAGGTCAGATTGATAGGAATTTCCCAATTGTCTTAATTGCAAAACCCACCGACCAGGACTGTTTTATATCTCCCTCTCAACCTCGATACTTCCTGAAGGTCAGATGTCCCTTTCAAATAAACACGTTGTTACTTTTAAACAGCCTGGTAATTTGTGTGTATGCTCACTGAAGCAATAAATGTGACAAGTCACGTCGATTCCAAGTCCTTGTGCGTGTGCTGGTTATGCTCTTCTACTGGTACTATACATAGCTATGTGTATGTTTATCTAATCACTGCAGGACATCTCAGTGGGGCACCACGGTGGCTATGAGATGTTAACTACATCGCCTGGTATACAGGAGGTCGTGGGTCCGATCCCGACCCTGACACCTGTTGCTTATTTTGAGTTTGCGTGTTCTGTCCGTGGTCAGGTGGATTTGCCACGTGACAAGCCACTCCCTTTCGCTGTTATTTGTGGCCAGGTCGCTTCTGACAAAAGAGTTACATGGCTCAATCGACCTCACCTGGTGAAATAGAAATTGTAGTAGGGTACACTGAGCTGCTTTGGCAACCCTTGTCCCTTCCCCTCGCTACGACTTCCTTATCTTCCGTCTACAAATGCAGCCCACTAATGACGCTGCTCAACGCGGGATTAGCGAGGACCCGACTCCACCGTAATTGTGCCATTAATCCCGAGCAAAGAGGGCACTCGCCAAATGGCAGAGCCCTCAAATTAAACGATCGCTTGGCCAAACCCACGACCGCGAGCCCAGAGCCCCAACGCTCGCAGCCGTCACCATAGCTGGGTTGCAACCCTTGACGATGGGCGCCTTTAATTTTCAACTGTAGATGAAAAACCGGGACATGTTTTACAAATTAGCCGGGGTCTTGTTACCGAAACTGTCAAGGGTAATTATGAAGAAAAGTTCGGCTCAAATGCCCGCCAGAGCTCAGCAGCGGATCAATTCTTGTCGCCGAAGCACAGACGCCAGACAATTCGCGGGGCTGTCCGGCTCAGACCACTACAGGTGGGCAACCCAAATAACGTCGTGGGATTGGTTCGTATTTTATCTATTTCTCGAATGCCCCCCGTGAGATGGAACGCCTCTCGTTTGCAAGGGGTTTCCTGGGTGCCGAGTGACCCATCCATGGCAAGCACGTGACGACACGCGTACACACTTTTGAAATCTGCATGATAATTGTCTACTCGACGGTCTCGTTTTAGTTAACATCGCTTCAAAATGACGGTGGTAAAGATTCCACCCTCCCCCAACACCCTTCTCCACCTTCACCCATAATTCAATAACTTATCACGATAACTACGTCACGACTTTCGTCGAGAATTCCAACTCTTTGTTTAACTTTGCGGTGCATCGCGGCTGCACGGATCACACGAACTAATAACGCACAATATATACACACGTGTAGATACACGTCTATTAACCGCACGCACGCATCGATGCATGTGTCGTGAGCGTATGCATCGAGTCTACTTCTTGCATGGTAACGCCCCTATCAGAAACAATCTTAAATTGTTCGTAAAAAACGTCTCGCTAGGCAATGCTAAGCACTCTTGTGCGTGGATGGTGCTGGGTTTGGCGAGGATACGCTATCATCAGATGGTAGCACAGCAACACTCAATATCGTCCGTGCGCCCCTCCCTTCATCAACCCACACGAACCAGCGCGGTGAAGAATGGTCAGAGGAACCTCGCGACCTGTACGAGCTTGGTGGGGAGAGGCTTTCAGATCGACTTCGGCGCACATTTAAATAATCTAGATTGAGAACTCAATTCTTTAAAACTGCTTTTTGTGCTTAGTTTGTTGTCTCCGATTGCCGCACCTCCGGTCAGCACGGTTGGCTACGTACGGTGCGAAAGAAGTTCAACTTATCTACCTCCAACAGTAGCCTGACAAAGGGGCGGTGTACGTGTGCGCACGCGTACATATTTCACACAGGGTTGGTTACGATTTTGGCAGACGGTGAATATGATGTTGATGGGGCCCACCGACATAAACGTCGACGCCAGAGGAAAGTCCAACGGTGATGTTTACAGCGACGCAACCGGTACTCGTTTAAGGCTGAGCTGACCCAAAGGAGGCTCAGTTAAAGTATCACACGCCACTGGTGTTAGCCGGGGTTCATAGCGCTTGGGTGCCAACTCGCTCGGCTTGCGCAGACAGACGCGCAATCCCACACATGTCGCAGCATGTTTGTAAAACATTCTCCCAGAGCCGTGTGTGTTAGGCATGTGTCTCGCGTGTGCGTATCCGTGGCAGGTCACCCTGCCCTGCCTCTCAGCTGATGAGGGGTCTCAACCCACAATTTGTATCCATTCCTTAAGGTCGTTAATCACGTAATTATTTTGGCATATGTAATCTGTATTGGGGTTTTTCCTGCAGTAAACAACGACTCTAATTAGAGTCGTGTTTTTTTTTCTGATGGCCTGGTTTGTGTGAGCGTGCATGTGTGAGAGCACGTGCTCGCTAACACCACTAGCACCAACAGTCGATTCAGGCTACAAAGGTGATGTTTTTTTGTGCAAGTGGGCAGGGGTGGTGTCGCGTTTAGTGCACTGCGCTACGAACCCGGCGACCTGGGTTGGATTCCCGCTCACGGCCACCGGCACCGATGACGATTTTCTCGAACCGGTTCTGGGCCTCCCCTAGGTCGGCTCAGCCTCGAATGAGTACCTAGTGCGGATACGGAAGCATCGCCACTGGGGAGACAAAGGCGGTCGGACGTGGTGCTGTGTAGGTGAATGTGCGTGGGGGTAAATGTGTGTGGGGGAGCGAGAGTGTAGCGGTTAACACACCACACTTCAAAATCAGTGGCCCGAGTTCGATTCCCGCTCGCAGCCAACATCGGTAATGAATACCTAAACCGGTCCTGGGCCTCCCCTAGGTCGGCTCAGCCTCAAATGAGTACCTGGTGCAGTGCTTAAATATCAGCACTGGGGAAACAAAGGTGGCCCTGTGCGATGCTGGTCACCCACACCTCTGTGCACCGTGCCAACATTAATAGGTGCTCGGTAACAGCACTTGCCCCAAGTCTGTTAAGGCTATACGGGGGATCTTTGTCTTTGTACATGTGTGAGCATGCTTGTGTGTGTGTGCGAGCATGTGCATATATGCACGTGTCAGTGTGTGTGCGTGCATGTGCTTGTTTTGGCTTTTACAACGATGCCTTAGTAACCACACAGAGGTGCACACACTGCCCAGAGCACCGCTGATAGTGGAACTGAATTATAGACAAAGCACAGAGAGAGAGAGTCCATTGCCTGAGAAAAGCTTCAGCAAGAGCCAGGATTGCCAATCCATGTAAAGTACACACGGGAACAATTTTTTTTATTGATATTACAAAGCCGATCGTGAGTGGTGTCAGTAGTTGGCATTTGCTTTTCACCCCACTTTGTAGATTGTCTCGGCTTTTGCATGGAGTGTAGGATTTGCTTAGAGCCCTTTCTCAACCCATGGGGGCTGTTTGACCATACTTCAGCGCGCAGGTCAATGCGGGTTGGTAAAGAGTGGGCTCAGGACCTGTAAATATATGTTTTTAATGTTGAACGTATTTTGCACCGTACGTAGCCAACCGTACAGCCAATCGGTGGTGCGGTGCAAGGACAACCAAGCAAAAAAAAAGACGTAACTCGCCACTAACGTTAGCCGCGGCCGGGGATTAAACTCGAGGGTCTGGGTTAAAAGGGCAATGCGTTAACCATTGCGCCACCACTCGAAACCCCTTGGTATTTTAATCTTTGATTTGAAAGACTTTTGTTTGAGTCGCGTTGGTCGTGGTAGTTGTCTGAGCCTACCATGTACACAGCCCTGTTCAATATTGACTTCCGTTGCTGTGTAGTCGAGGTGCTGTGGTTTTGTTTACCCCCCCGCCCCCCAGAGATTCCATTGACTGTCCCAACTCGAGGCTGTGAATTGATGCAGCAATAATTACAATTCGAACATGTCTAGAGTTTGGTTTAACACATAGGCGGCTTTCTCGACCAATATCATCCGTAATGCAGCTTTTTGTTGGGTTAGATCGCGTAAATATATAAATGTGTCGTTAAACCCGCCACCACCCGACACAGCCAACTAGTAAGGGTTGTCACGTAAACAGAACATGCCAATGCGTTACTAGTACAGCATTAGTGTATAGTAGTGTAGTGTATAGTGTAGTGTACTAGTACAGCACGAACCGGTGTGTTGGAGAGCAAAGCCACAACATTCACAATCCGAGTACATTCACAACTTCTTGGTTATTTCGGTAAAGTCACGTAGAAGGGAAATAATAAAATAATACAATGTATACGTACTAAAATAAAATTATCACGACGTTTTGGTCACAACACAAGCAGCCGTTGTGTTGTGGCCGAAACGTCGGGAGAATTTTATTTTATAATGTTTTATTTTGATTATTTTATTATTTCCCTTCTACGTGACTTTACCGAAATAACCAAGACGATGAATCCCTGCAGTCACGAAAGCTTTAAATCGAAATTTACAAAGTCTTGAGTTTGCCGTCTTATTTGCGTTGTCTCTATATTCCGTGATCACCATCATACATTTCGATTTAAAGCTTTTTATTTTATTATGTTTTATTTTTATTATTTTATTATTTCCCTTCTACGTGACTTTACCGAAAGAACCAAGAACACAATCATACAGTCCTGTCACACGGTTTTGAAACTGAGGTGCCCAGAGAAAAGCCACGTCGGGCAGGGAGATAGCTATGTTTAAAGGTCCACACGGGCTGATGCACAGACACATCTGCTGTCCTACCATCTCCTGGCTGCCTCTCACAGCCCAGCAGGTTTGGGATGTTCAAGAATCTTCCTGCAATCAACCAACCCCGCACGAGCCAGCGGATGTGCCTGTTTTAATAGCACGTGGGTATCATCAAATAGCAGCATCCGGTGAAGTCGTCATGCATGCTGTTGCGTTTCCCTCTGCTGTACCCTCCCTAAGCCATGGGGGCTATTTGACCATACTTCAGGTCAGTGCCGGTTGATGAAGCTTCCACGTCCATGACTGCACAAGCACGGGAGCACGCTACTCTTCTTCTTGGTTCTTTCGGTAAAGTCACGTAGAAGGGAAATAATAAAATAATAATACAAATTTTACATACTAAAATACAATTCTCACGACGTTTCGGCCACAATGCAAGCAGCCGTCCTCAAGTGAAGAACAGGTCTGT